TATATATATATATATATATATATATATATAAAGGTACCTTACCATAGTCACAGTCTCACCGAAGAGTGAAGGATAGGGACAGGTGGAAAACAATACCCCAACAAGTAAGAATCTACTACCAGAAGCAGATAATGGGAGATACACGTAGGAAGTGTAGTCCTAGTGGTCGACAGAAGAAATACCTCCAACGTATGATGAAGGTGGCATATAGGTAAAAGGGAAGGTACCTAATCAGAATAAAGACACCAGGAATTGATTATGGGGGAAAAAAGAGATAAGGAAGAAAAGGCCAACTGAATCAAAAGGCAAATCCAAAGGGTAAGAGAGAAAAAAAAAAGTCACAAACAGTGGAGTGGAGACAGGGAATGAAACAGCAGGAAAAGTAACAAACAGAAAGAAGCCTTGATGGCAATAAAGCAACAAAAAGTAGGTAGAGGACAAAGAAAGCCAACCAAATCCAACAGGGATTAAAGGTGGGAGCTAGAAGGAAATGTAAACAAAGAAAAACATGGCCCATGAGCCGCCAAAGTAGAGAGCAGGAAAAATCAATTCAGAACAAAAAAGATAGATTAAGCTGAAGAAGCTGAGAAAACCAGATCTGTATTGTCCAGAAAGGAGCAATCAGAAAGACCTGAACACAGAGTGGCAAAAATGAATGAATGAAATCACCCAAGAATGATGATGAATGGAATGGGAAAAGAAAGGAATAAGCATGTCCCAATCCTGTCTGAAGGCATCACCAGCCAAGGCAAGTGGATGAGAAACCAGAGACAAAGACATACATATCTAAAACAAGCTCAAAGGGCAAGGTATGAAACTAGTACCAAGCTCCATGGTGAACAAACTTAAGACAGTGCAGCGGGGGACGAAAAATAAGAACACTTACTGTGGACATCCTCACTCCTGGGGAAAAAGCCCACCAGAGTGTGATAAAAGACAATATAGTGAAATGGGAAAGAATCAAGAAGTGATTGAGGTGGGATAGATTGATCAGAGAACTCTTAATCTGCATGGAGAATATATGACTAATGGAGGAACTCTTTGAAAGTGGGACATGTAAATGACAGGAAGGTGCCAGATATGGAACATGAATAAAGAATGCAAGGGCCAGAGAAACAAACAAGCAAACAAAAAAGAAAAAAAATTGAATGTAGCAATACAGATACCCCATGTGATGCTAAAGTCACAGGAGTAACCCCCCCCCCAAAAAAAAAGGGCTGTAAGTCCCAATTAGAAGTGGAAGGGAAGCAAACTTGGTGCAAGACAGTATCCCACCCCAGAAGATCCCAAAAACAAAGAAGGCACATGTGTAGAGAAAGAGTCGAAGATGGCAATTGCCCCAACATGTAGGTAAAGAGGAGGAAGGTATAAAATCCTCAAGAAATAGATGGACGCCTCAAAAAGGAGGTGTATGGCAGCCAATACCAGTAGGAGAGGTGATAGGAGAAGAAAAAGGCTGGAAACTTGGCTAGGAAGAAAAGGATAAGATTAACTCTCTCAAAATGGGCTTGGTTGATCTGACCGACCATGTGACGTCTTTGTACTTGTATAAAGTCTTTACAGATTTGATATTACTAACTTTTAATACATTATGTATATGTTTAAAAAATTTGGCAATTTTCAGTAAACATTACAAGTCTTTCACATGCAAAAAATTTTTTTTTTGTGAAGTATTTTAAATAAAATAAAAAAGATTTGTCTAAGAATATATCAAGTATTTGTTTTGAATTGTCCATGTGCAAATTGATTTTCATGTTAAGATTAAAAATACTTTCCTTCATCTCAAAAATATCAGATTTGATTTGTGTAATCTCTAAAACTTCCTAAATACATTTCAAAGGTTTGTTTTCAGTAAAACTTTATATTTTATCATTATTTTCTCTACTTTAACTCAACATAATGTTGGTCAATTTGACCGACCTCATAACCACCCAAAAAATAAATAAATAAATCTAAATTACCCATTTTTTCTTTCTAGAATGACTTCAAATTATAACATGACACTATATTTGTTTATCCTAAGTAGCTTTAAACTGGTAACAGTATACATCTATTTATGATTCAATTTTATTGTTTTATTGCCCTTTGAACAGTGTCTAACTACTATTCATGCCATTATAAGTTGTAAATCACTTGGGAAACGTGGAGGTCACATTAAGCTCTCAAATAACATTACCCATGAGCTGTTCACATGCGTGCTTCGTGAAACATTTTTATTAAATTATTATTTAATTTACCTAATCTACCCTTAACTAACCTAAAGAGATTCATATTTTTACATTTTAGTTGCTTTTATATAAAATAATTAAAGAATAAACACAAAAAACAAGGAATAAAGTACTTACACAAATCTTCTTTTTTCTTGCTGTCGACTCTCGATGAGAGTTAACCCTTACTAATCATAGTAATGCACTAGATAATTTTTATTTAATTAAATAATGCACCAAAGAACATAGACTATGCAAAAAGTATACAATTTCCCCTAACTCTCAAAACTGTTTGGCTTTCTGACTATGCGACAAGAGGCATTACAAATTTATCCAAGCTAGTCATTAACTTTCCCATGGGAATTAAGCTTGTACTCTGAAAGAAATTGGCTCTTATTTGTTCAGAACACAAAGTTATACGATATGTCATTTGATAGATGATAATCTTGACTTTCTGTTGTTTATAGGTAATATATAATTAAACATAAGAGAGAACTATTAATGAATCCTGAAAGAGAGAATGACAGGTGGGATCTGATTTTCTATTTGATAGCTCTGTAACTAAACAAAATTGAAGTCTATACAAATTATGGTTTGTCTGAGCAATGACGATTTTATAGTGAGTAATTTACGTTTAATTTTGTACATTTTGGAGGGGTGGTGGATAAAATAGAGAGAAGATACCTAGAGAAAATGTGTCATGTATGTCACACTAGGGGAAATTTGGGATTTTTTTAAATATTGCCTTATAGAATTAAGAACTTAAAACTTGCATACTATTAAAATATGAATTATTAGCTAAGATTTTATGTTATGCTAATTGGTACCACAAACAAAAAGTAGTTTAATAAAAGTTTAAATGTAAGACACTAAAACTTTGTGTCATGCATGGTAAAGAATACTAATGGTGATAGGGTTAACAAGTTTTACGTTTGATAATGTAAGAATCTTGCATGAACCAAAAAAAAATAGTGTTTATAAACTTGAGTACTTGTGTCAATAGCATATTATGCAGATAAATAAATATAACAACACTATAAGCTATGCAATAATTATGCTATAGTTCCTGAGTAGTCATAACTAAAACAGATCTAAAAGTTAAAAGCAATCATATTAAAAATAATATAAATGTATATTGATGCAAAATGAAGATGCAACAGTCTAAGTTTTACATCAACAGCTCACTGGGGACATACAAAATATTATTTAAATTTTAAATAGTGAGCAGATAAGTTTGTCAATTGTTTGAGCAGTATGGTACCTTGAGATAACAATGTGCTGAGCTAAAGTCACACGATTTCTTAAAAAAAAAGTATTCTATACATTTTTTTGTGCATCATTATGTATATATTATGCTTGTAATTTTTTTATTATATTCCAAAAAAATTTAAAACATACAATGAGAAAGCTTTTGATATTTGAACTTCTTTATTTTGATATTTGCTTGGTAAGAATTTACTCATTACAAACCTTGATGTATGGTACAGTTATTTTTACTTCAAAATACACTACTGTAAGTATGTTTACCAGTAAAAGAAATTATATAGTTATCAAAAATTTGTTCTGGTGCAGTTTGTAACATAATAGGATTTTCTTACTCTTGTAGCTCAGAACTCAGCCAGATGGAAGATACAGGATTAAAGATTTCCTTCAAGAAATCCAGTTGCTGATTGTAGTTGTGGAACTCATTACTGTAACATAAAAGAGAAGGGAGTTTAAATCCTAAACAGATTAACTAAAACAGATAATGCATCTGTATAGAGACAGAGATGGAGAAAAAAGAGCTAATGAATCTGTCCAAACATAGTGATGATGAGCAACAAAGAGATAATGCATCTATTCAAAGATGCAGATGATGAACAAAGAGACAATTCATTTGTCCAAAGACATAGATAGTGAATATACTCACAAGTGGGATTATAATAAATGAGCATTGTGGATAAATGTGAAATGGGAGGGAAAAATAGATCTTGAGTTTATTCAGGCAGTGACTATAGGACAGACAAAACTGAATTAGATCTAGACTACAGTAAAGTTGTACTAAAAACAGAACATGAAAGAGGCTAATCTAAGTCATTTATTAGTTTGACTACAAAATTTGAGCTTCCAAACTCACCCTGTTACTTATTCTATACTTGATTTTGTTTGCCATTAAATTTATAGAATAAATATACATTTTCCTCAAGAAACACATTTTGACAAATTTATTTTTGGTTCAATAGCATCAGAGGGCTTTGTGGATTATAAAAATGAGCTTCTTTGACAGCACAACAGTAGCTATTTTAGTGCTTGCTACTTTACTGAACATTTTTCTTGTTAAAGAATAAAGATGTGCTTATGATGTTACTTAACAACACAATTAAATTAATAAAAACCTCCTCCACAAGATATTTTGTAGAATTATGTTAAGTTTCAAATGAAACCAACTCTTTGAACACAGCTTCAGAGATCAGCAGCAAATGCTACAAATACAAAACAGAAACAATGCTATTTTTAGGGATAAGAACAGGAAATGACATTTTTTAGCTGGCCAAAGGTCTAGATGCTCCCTGGTGTTCTGTAGGCCATCTTGGAACATTAAGTATACACCTTATTTACTGATAGAATGATCAGTAAACATTTGACTTTTGTTACTTTAACTCATGTTACAATAATAAAAATTACACACCAATTAACACAAACTAGTAATTTCATTAAATATTAAGACAGATACAACATAAAAATTACAATTAATAGACCAGTTAAAAACAAATTAGTCATTTCATGAATTAACGAGGAAATACTTGTACAAATTAGTTTCCACTATAGCAGATTACTAACTAATCATTTATAAATTGAGTCCTTTAAAAGATAGATATGAATACTTCATTCATTTTCCTGAAAAACAAAATCAAAAAGCAAAATTACATAGGTGTTGACTGATTTTTTGTGTCTGAAATTCCCTAGTTCCACAATTTCACCCTCCCATCACATTGAATAAGTTTTAATATGATTTTTAACAAAAAAAAAGTCATTAATTACTGAAAACAATTTTGAAAATTTTGTCATATACCTGCTTCCCCACCAACTTTCATCAAATCATGTCCAATTTAGATTCAATCTAAATGATTTCACACATAAAAATAATGCCTGATTAAAGAAAAACGTCTATTCTATGTAATGAGTGAAAGTTGCATAATATTCAAGATGGATTGTTAAAAGATTTAAAGCCCACCTGTAAGCTGAATTTTTTTAGTCATTCACCATTACACTTTTAAAAGTTTGTGCACTTCTTACATATTCAGACATTTTCAGCTTCAAGACATTTTGTGATTGGTCTGTTGTCCATCAATCAACTGTAATATGTAGGTCCACCACGTGTTTTCTAATGTAAGTACAATTTCCACATAACATGTTGGTCAAGAAAGTCATATTCCTTTAGCTCTAGCTACCTATTATTCTGTTCATTCACCAGAAGTAACACCTTGTCTGCTCATGGGGAAGAAAACTGTAAAGTTGTCCTTAATATGATAAGATTGATAGCAGTTTTCTATATTGACAAATAAGGTGATATCTTAATGTTACATCCTCCCTTATTTTCTAATGAGAATGAACAATCACCTAGGTAATACTAGTCACCTTGGACAAGTGTGATATTATAGATTTAAGAATATAATATAATATTTTCCCAGACTTAAGTTACTTCAGGGAATAGTTTTAAGTCATGATCATCTTACACAATTCAAATCATCTTATCTTTCAAACTATTGGGATTCAAAAAGAATTCAACAGCTGTAACTCTTCAGTAAAGGTGATTGTCATTTGTGCTTAAACAATACCTGCACTGTTGTTTTGTGTTGGAAATAAATACTATTTTCACTGTGCATTTAAATTTATGTTCAGTCTCATTTTTTGCATATACTTAGTTAGTTTCAGAGAAATTCAGAATTACTTAACAATATTTCCAGATTAAATATTCCATTATTTAGTGAACCTATCTTATTCACTCTTGGGGAAAATTAGTTTCATCTAAAAATATCACACAGCCAGTTGAAAGGAGACTCACCTATCAATTTCAGTTTAGGATTAGACATCAAAGCAGACAAGGCAGTCTCAGATCAAACTTACTAGCACTAGTATTTTGTCTCCAGCCCAAGCAATCCCCCAACATTTTTCTGATTTGATATGAATGAATTATGTGAATGGCCAGTGTGACAGTAGTAATGGAAGAAATCAGCCAAGTGGTGGCCAATTCTCATCTCTATATGTTTAATGGTACCTGTTCAAGATTTGATCACCATGATTTATATAGTAATCAAGTCTATAATACACCAGTGAAAAAAATTAACAAATAAAAACATTGAACACCAAAGTGTTCATTTTAGCCTCTTCACTGCTTTTTCAGTGCAAGGAAATGCAAAGCTTCATATAGGAAAGATTTTAAAATAAGCTTTTCAATCCCATTTCTTTGCCATCCTTATTAAATAATAATCCTTAAAGTTATAGTATAAATCATAGCATAAACTATTATAACTAAATATTTACAGAATGACTTTAAATTTAAAGCACTTGCATATAAATCTACCAACACAAAGTAAACATTTACAATCACAACTACAGGTTTTATGATTTTCTTTTACAAAAAAGCAGTCTTCTTGCAATCACTCCATAATTCTTATCCAATTTTTATACATATTAATACTCAACACACCTGATCAGAACAAGAGCTTCTAACAAAGTACATTTCTCCAGTTGTGAAAGCTGATCAGGATCTTGACAGAGGTTTTTTACTTGAGTGTACATCTGCTGAAATGCTGGCTATGGAAAGACAACAGAACATTAATTCATGAAAAACACAATCACATATATCATAATAATATGACACAGGTAAATTTTAGGTTAAGTAGTATAGCTCCAATCAAGGTAAATACATATCTTTTATGCTAACTTCTACTCAAAATAACCCACATATACCTTTTTGTTAAAGTGCTATATGGATGTTTTTCATTTAATTCAAATATTGATCACTTTTACTGGCATAAAAAAACATATAAACTAAACTTACCATTTTGTTATTCAGAACAACTAAGTTAAATACAATTTAGAAAGGTTGGGTATTACATGAAGGGTTAGTTTTCAAGCACAAACTTACCAGGAGAAGCTTAGGATGCTGTTTACAAATCTTCACAAGGGAAGAACAGGCATGACGCCTCACATTTTTTATTGCTTTACTTCGTGTAGCTTTAGTTTGTCCAGGAAAATTGAAAACTACAGCAGAAAATATCTGAGAAAAACAAACAACATATTATTAGAGTAATAATTTTTATAGAAAATCTTTTCTCCTTTTATGTTTTTTATTTATCAATGAATTATCTAAAAGAACTCTACACTGGTGGGATAAAATTTTTGCCAGTACTAAAATTTTCCAGGTATTTACAAACAATTTTTTTTTTTCTGAGTTTGCCAACATGTGCATAATCATCACTGGTAGATGTGTGAAATGTCACTCTGCAGACTTTAAGCATATTAAAAAGATGACTTGAGTATGAAAAATATAAAGCTTCAGCCTAACCATCTGTTATGAAATAAAAAAGTCACATGACTAGAGATTGTTTAAAATTATGGTGTGTTTACTTGAGTTGCAATGTTTGTAAACATGAGTTGTTTTTATTGTTCACTAAATAAAATCAAATCATCATCACCACTAATCATGACCAGAAACAAACCACCAATTAAAGCATGCCTATCTCAATCCATCTGGATACCATACAAGGCCTCCAGTAGCTTGCATAAACTGACCTCAAAACATTGTCCTCTATGCTTGAGCTGCCTAAGTAGATTGTATAGTCATCATATATTTCTACAAGTGTTTCTTTAATAGGCAGTTGCCACCCATTTCAGTCAACTCAATATGAATACTCTGCCTAAACTATCTATCAAAGAATACCCTTGGTTTTATATAATAGACTGAAAGTTACCATTTATACATTTCATGAAAAACACATTTTTTGTTTAAAAAGTGCTTTGCTTTTGCCATAACTTTTTTGAAAGATAATCTGGGCATTTCCTACTTTATAAATTAACTGATACTCTTTACTGAATTCTACCGCACAGTCACCAATGAATTTGTTTTTAAAATACACAGTAATTCCACAATGATCTTCTATAAATCAAATAACTGAAAGGTTTTATTAAAACCAATAAGGGAAATAATGTTTTTATTTCAAACACATCACCATTACAATTAGAAAAAATTATGTAGCCAGTTAAAGAATGTATTTATATACATTGTTTGAATAAGATAAACATAAAAACAATATTCAAAAAAGATTCAAGTCATGGTAGTCACCTATCATATTAAACAGTAAACTTATTTAAAAGTTTGGAAACAGTTTGGATGGGTAATGAAGAAAATTTTATTATAAAAGTACAACATTTCAATAAGATTGTTTCATCATCAGGTAATAGTAGTTTACAGAGACACACAAATATATATACAGCATGGAACAAAGAGATCACATGACCAAAGATTGCTTAACAGTTTAGTAAAGACATCTTGGTAACCTGGAGTGTTGGTTTAGAATAGGGCTGTTTTGTTAAATTAAGATAGTTTCCATTATTCTGCATTTGTTGATGTTTGGTTTATTGTTTAAAATTACAGTGTTTTGGATAGATATACTGTGGTTTTTTTGAGTTGCAATGGTGGTAAACATGGGAGGGTTTTTTATTACGTTCGGTGAATCTAGTTTCCAATTTTCTTCCTGTTTCTCCAATGTAGAATTCTGGACAGTTACTGCAAGTTATTTTATAAATCATGTTGGTATTGTGCGATTCTATGTAAGTTTTATTTAGTAATGATTTTAGTTTTGGGCTAGGTTTTTGACTGAATTTTAAGTCAACAGGAATTTTATGTTTAATGGCAAGGTTTTTTTCCAAGTGTCGATTATTTTTGAAATGATTTCAGGGATAAATGGTAAACTGCAGTGTAACATTGTGTTTTTTGTTTGGTGTATTATTGTCAATTTAGTTTGAAAGTTAAGTTTGAGGTTTTTGTTCTGGTGGTTGTGTGTAAATTTTTTGACAATTATTAGTGGAAATTTGTTAGTGTGAATGAAGGAATGCTTTATAAATTTGATTTCTTCATCTGTTTAGTCAGTTGAGCAAAGATTAGAGCTGTGTGTAAGAAGTTTTTTAGCATATTAAGTTTTTGTTTGGATTCGTGGGGAGAATTCCAGGGGATGTAGAGGCCTGTGGGAGTGATTTTTTTGGTAAATTTTGGTTTTGAACTGTGTGTCGGATCTAATAATGACAAGAATAAGAAAAAATAGCTATTTGATATTTTCATGTTCAATGGTGAATATAATGTTAGGGTGAATGGAATTCGTGTGTTCAAAGAAAGTCTATGTTTTTGGTAAAAGTAAACCAGCAACAGTGTTATCAATGTATCTGTACATGAAGGGGAGGATAAAGTGTGGATTCTATGGCAAAAAAAAATGAAAAGCCAGAGGAAATCCTGTCTTTAGACTTCAGGTATCACTAATTGAACAGTAAATCTGTAAACGAAAACATTCTAAATTGAAGGTCGCATGACAATGTAACAAAGAAACATGTATAACAATGTTTACAATTGTTTGAAACAACAGAAAGTTATATACACACAAATGCATATGCAGGTACACAAACACACACATAAATGATTATATATGCATTATTGTTTTAAAAGAAGTAAAAATCTAGAAGTGGAATTTGGTAAAAGTAAATACAGAATTGGTTGACAAAAGTTACAAGAAAAAAATAGATACATCACATAATTTACTGTATAAAACCTTTTAAGAAAGGATAAAACTAAAGTGAGAAATATTACAAAAAGATAAAACGTTCATTTATCCCATTGAGGTGGATAGTTCCCAGGTCAAATATTCTTTTGTTTTCTTGCAATTCGTGGTTATGTTTATTTGTAGGGGCCTTCTTCTAAACAAGTATTTTAAAATGGTTGTGCAAGTTGAAGTGTCGGGCCACTGGTTTATCTGCATTGCAATTTATTATGTCTCCAAGATGTTCTCTGGTACCTTCTGCTAATAATCTACTTGTTTCTCCTATGTATAATTTTCCACAACATGAGCAAACAATAGAATATATGATGCATTTTGATGTGCAGTTATATTGATCCTTAATGTAAAAACACAACTTGGGACCCTGCACGAATGTTCTTGAGTCATTGTAAGAACACGTTTTACAGCATTTTCTATTACAAGGATAGCTACCTACAATACAATTTGTGTCTGTTCAGGTGGGTGTTTTAAGGCTACTATGTGGTTATATGCTGTAAGGAACTTTATCTTTAGTAAGCGTCATGTCATTTGAGTGATTTACTATCGTACAAACCACTTCAGGACAACCCACTACCAAAATATCATGGTCATCACCAACACTGTCAACAAACTAACAGCTGCTGAGGAATACCCATGTCTGGTAGAAATTTAATATTACCAATTTCTGACTCTAAACCTGGTGTTTTCTATTTAGTGCCTAAAATTCATAAACCTACCAACCCTGGTAAACCCATTGTTCTACCTGTAATGCTCCAACTGAACTTGTCTCCAGTTGTTTAGATTCCATAATGGCTCCCCTCATCCACTCACTTCCTACTTATATTAAGGATACTTATCATGCCCTTAGATTCTTCAACACAATTACTTTTAACCCCAAATAAGACTCAGTCCTTTTATTTAGGATAGACATCAAATCATTATACATGGTAATACCACAACAGCAGGGTTTAATAGTTTTAAAACACTTTTGTGTGTGTATATATATGTATGTATATATTATAGATATATGTATGCTTGTGTGTGCGTGTGTGTGTGTATATATATATATATATATATATATATACTACTCTATTCGTTA